AAAGAGGAGTTTATTTCAGTTAGGGCAACATCTGGATTTGCAATTACACTGGTTTTGCTGGTAGCTACTATCTTCATTCACCCTTCTTCCTCTTTTTTATTGCTGTAACAATATTTTTTCTTAGGTGTGGCTTTTAAAAGTAGACATGGAATTGAGTTGAGCTATAGAGTAACTCATTCAGACTGTTTTAGGCCACCGTGTGTATAAATTCACAAGATGCATGTATTGAATCCTTTCAAACGGCACTCTTTGATCCTCAGTGTTGCAAGTGCCACACTGTCTATCAGGCACTAATTAGGAGTTTGCTTTCCCCTCTAAACCACTTTAAAATGTGCAGGTGCAACAGTTTTATCACTCTAGCTGTAATTAGTTTTTAGTTACTTCAAAAAAGACGTTGGCAGTTTGCAAGGAATCCCAGCTATCGTGGATGTGTTCCTACAGCACTGTGGATAAAGTAAAACCATTTTCGGGAAGTTTATTGAGGCATTAGATGTGGAATCCCACATGATACTTTAATAGGAGAAAATGGAATAAGGAGAATTGTAGAGGAATCAGGACTGGCTAAATAAGGAAAAATAATTTTAAATTAAGGGGGTTTATTGATAGGGAGCAGAGGGATTAGTGCTGGGTCAAATACTAACATTTTAACTAATCATTTGATGGATTGAAGAACATGATCATTCTCTTCACAGGTGAATCTAGGAAGGATCATGAGTCCTATTTAAAATCCTATCTTAAACAGTAGGATTTCGGTACAGCATGAATTTGAGAATAAAATAAGCTAGAATGAAAAAGGTGCCTCCGAAGAATAAAAATGTAAAATTAACAATGGGAGAAGGAATAATCTAATGCAGAAAATCACGTTAAAGGAATACTGCTTTGAAGAAGTACCCCTGGGAATGCTGTGCGGTTATCCAATTAACAAGCTGAAATTGAGTCAGCAGTCACAGCTGCAAAAATAAGGATATGTATCAATGCACCAGGGAATTCCTTGGCCAGGAAAATATGAATCAACCTGAAAAAATGAGGTATCAATGTGAATTTTGAATCTAGAATAAGAAATCACAAGAATATAGTAGATAACCATTCCAGGTTACTCATGAAGTCAGAGAAGGCAACAAGGTTTATCTGCCCAGATAAGTGTTCCCATTTGAAATGTGTTAGGTTTGCATCCTGGAAAGAAAATCAGGAAGTTCATGCCTTAGGTTAGAAAGTGATTGTGGTGGGTTGACCTTGGCTGGATGCCAGGTGCCCACAAAGCCGCTCTGTCACTCCCCTCCTCAGCAGGACTGGGGGGAGAAAATAAGATGGAAAAAAACTCATGGGTCAAGATAAAGGCAGTTTAATAAAGCAAAAGCAAAGGCTGCATGCAGAAGCAAAGGAAAACAAAAGATTTACTCTCTGCTTCCCATCAGCAAGCGATGTCCAGCCACTTCCTGGGAAGTAGGGCTTCAGTACGCTTAACGGTTGCTCCGGAAGATAAACATTGTAGTAACAAATGCCCCCTCTCCTCCTCCTTTCTCTTAGCTTTTATTGCTGAGCAGACATCATATGGTATGGAATACCCCTCTGGTCAGTTTGGGTCAGCTGTCCTGGCTATGTCCCCTTCCAAGATCTTGCCCAGCCCCAGCCTACTGGTGAGGAGGGAATGTTGGAGAGACAGCCTTGATGTTGCGCGAGCACTGCTCAGCAGTAGCCAAAACACTGGTGTGTTATCCTCACCTTTCCAGCTACCAATACAAAGCACAGCACTATGAGGGCTGCTATGGGGAAAATTAACTCCATCTCAGCCAGACCCAATACAGTGATAATATCAAATGTTTGCAAAATGGACATAATGTCCTTGCTCTGATTTTGAAAGGCAGGAAGAAAGAGTCCAGACCAGGAAATTAAAAGGTATAGACTTAAAATAATCTCCCTTTCTGCAAAGTCAGAAAGAGAAAAAGCCTCTAGCTAATCTCTTAGTTTCTAATTATCTATGCAGAAGGAGATCTTAATTGAAGGAGGTTTCATTACCAAAGGAAAGAAAACAAAACTTTCAAATGTTGAAGTGTGATCACTGATTCTAGGATATTTCCTGTCGGTGTCCATTCCAGCAGTGATACGAAGATACTGATTCTATTGCACAGGGCGCAGGCAGCATAATTACTAATTATAATTTATAATTATTAATTATAGTTATAATATAATGTATTATATATATTATATATATAATATATAACATAATATAATTATAGTTTTGGTCACTGCTATTAGAGAAAATGATATTCAGACTAAAACAGATGCAAAGAAGGCTGCCAAAGATTTAAGAGAGCACGGTTTGTTTCATCTAACAAAACAAGGGCTGGAAGGAGGGTACATGCTGCTGCTCAAAAATACTTCAAGAAGGAAAAGATAGTAAGCTAAAGGACAACACTTGCATAAAACCAAAGGTGCTCAAACTGACCAGAAATAAATTTATCCAGGAAATAAAAAGGTGCTAAAGCCCCAAGGAGCAAGGTTACAGAAAGCTATACAGAGAATTAACAGAGCAAAAGAACCTGGTTTAGTGTAAGTTTTAGAAACTGAGCTCATGAATGGGGTTCTATAATGCACTACGAG